CACGATCTCCGGATCTCAATCCCATCGAGCATGTATGGGATTTTCTAGGCAGACGCTTGGCAGCTCGTACCTTACCACCAGTAACGATTCGGGAGCTTCGATTGGCGCTGCAAGACGAATGGGCAGCAATGCCTCAACAACTCATTGACACCCTCCTTCTCAGCATGGGCAGACGCTGTGAAACCTGCCTAGCAGTCAGGGGATATCATATCCCCTACTAAAGACCGGATGTTTCTTGTTGGACACCCATCACAGGCATGTTTCGGCCTTCAGTCGCATTGCGCTCCATGCTACTTTTTCAATCAAGCTTCTTTTTATCCCTCTGATTTCTCTTTTAGTAAGTGTTGCTTACATATTACACATGTCCTTACGTATTGGGGATCTTACGGTATTAAATGTGTTGATTTGGAAAGCTTTTGTACAAAGTTATATTGAAAAAACCGTCTCGTCCTTAATTTTTGCACACCAGTGTATATAATGTATTATATATATGTAGACAAATATGTGTATATATAATGTATTATATATAGAGACAAATATGTATACATATAATGTATTATATATATATATATATATATATATATATATATATATATATATATATATATATATATATATATATATATAGACAAATATGTATTACTATATAATTTTATTCTTTTGGGAAACAAACTTCGAAAAGCATTCACTACAGAAATGAAAAAATAATTTACTACCGGTTCATTTTTGTTTATACTTGAAGATAAATTAAAAACCATTTTCAAACATTAGAAATGCAAATTACCATTTACCTTTTGTAAAGTTGTAAGTAAAAAAAATTATGCAACATTTTTAAAGCCTTTATTCGCAGCACCATTTTAGTAAAAAGATATTATTTATCGAGAATTTCCTTATTAGTGTGGTAAAAAATTAAGACATTAAATTTTGTAATTAAATTGGGTATATTATGGAAGATAAATTGGTGTGTATATATATTGAATATAAAAGTCCTGTTCTCTCCTGCATGGTCAAAATAATGTCATTTTTGAATTCATAATTCTTTTACACAAAAAAATAAAAATAATAAAATATTTGTGTGGTGTATGTATTTATTATGTAGTATAGGGATATTTCTTAACACAACATATGTTTTTCAGAATTTGACTGGTATAAATTTGTCACACAGATGTACAATTTTTTTTACTATGGATAACATTTATTGGTATTTGCAGAAGGGTTGTCAAAATGTAAAATTCATTAATTTTGATGATAAGTTTTACATATAGACTATACACATATTATTGAAGTTTTACACAGTTTATTGAAGAAATCTATGCAACCCCAGCTGAAATGTATTAAGCATAAGAATACTCTGGATTTTAATTTTTACATAAGTATTAAAGTCTAAAAGGTCCATCTGTATTGATACTATCCTGCTTATAAATTTAAGTCCTGAATAAATTTGTTGTATTGAGTTATTTACAAATATTGACCCAAGAAGTGTTCTTAGATCAGTTCTATCATATTTATCAGTAATTAAGATCATGAAACCAAATATGATTTTACATATAAACATTTGATTCTGTAGGATATTTATTTTCTAAAAGCAATAGAAGTATTCGAAATTTTAATATAACCTTTTTCAATTCTCTATTTACCCTTAAAGGAATAACTTGACAAATTGTTGTTCGCAATAATCTACATTAATGCAAAATTCAGTAAAAAAAAAAAGGTAATTTCAAAAAAATTTCAAAATTATTTTTAATGGGTTAATTGTCCAAAATCACTGATATTTTTGTGTGACGTGTATTGAGAGGGCAAATTTGGAGCACTTGTATATTATAATATAGACTCTCTAATTTCTTAAAATCATAAAACCGCCAAATGCTACGATATACAACCAATAGTAGAAACTGTTCATGATCATGTTTGAACACAGTAATTATAGTGATATAATTTTTTTTTAAATTCGGATGTCTTTTTGATTGGCGAAAATAGTTGGCAGTTTAATATGTGTATGTTCCAAATTTTGGAATGGTACGAGTACTGATTTAGCATTTCTTAGACAAACTTTGAATTAATTAATTTTATATTTGAAGTTAATATATTTTCAAACATGAAACTTCAGAGCAAGAATTCTGAATCTATTTTCTTAATGCTGTTTCATTTTCAATTTTTTTAATATAAATATAATTATGTAAAAAAGGATACTTAAGATGCATAATCAGTGATAACAAAATAACATGTCAATACATTAATCCAAATAAGTTTAATTTTGGATGAACTGAAGTATATTTAACACTATACATACAATAACTGGTAGAAATAGGTATGCATTAAGTGTTGGATGTTCAGTGTAAAAAAATCAAATATTCCCATTAAAACAGAAGATAATGCTTCGTATATTTTAAAGGAACAGATTGTAGGAATTTTGTAATTATAGTGTCAAATTCAAAAAAAAAAAAGAAAATCCTTTGTCAATTTTATTTTGATGTAGTATAAAGATTTATTAATAAAAATAAAAATTAATGTAAGGAAAATTAGAGTGGTTTAAAAATAAATATAATAAACTTTAGTATTTAATATATAATTTTATAGGTATGATAAACAAACGTTATACAAAGGTTTATTGTACTTGAAATTGTATTGGACATGAAAAAAATTGTATCGAGATATTTTACAAAAAATAGTTACATTGCCATTTTATATGTGTATTTGCTTTTTTTATTCGAAACTTCTTTCTACAAGTTGCATGATTTAAGTATTCTAATTTGTTTTATGTAAATTCAGAAAGTTGATTGTATAGATTTAAGAGGTCTGAAATTTTAAAATTCTTAGGATATTTCATTTAATCTGGTTAGTTAGTCAGTTAGATCCTCTATTTGTTCACTATTTGTCCTTATAGTATAGCGTTACATTCATATATAGAGTCTGCTTTATTTACTTATAGTGTATTCATGTAATGTTAAAATTAAGTGTCAATAAATAATGCATATTAAAATGAGTATGATAATTGAATAAAACTGTCCGATAAGAATTTTCTGTTTCATTATACGAGAAATTTTCATGAAAACAATTTAATTTGTTCTACTTTAAAATAATTTTATTAAAAAGCTTATTTCTTTAAGCATGTTTCTTAATTTATTTTTAAAAAGTCACGTTCATTTCTTTCTGAATGTTGGAGACAGGCATTTCTAAAAAAATCAAACCTTTTGAAGGGTAATAATTACAAAGGAAGTCAAATTATAAAACATATGAAATGTTTGTTTATAATGAGATTATTTCAGATATCCCAAACCTTTAAACGATGTTAAAAACAATTTCATTTCCATCACAGAAGAATTCCTAATTATTTTAATCAAAAACATTCATTATTAACCAACTATTATTTTATACACTCTGCTCTCAAAATGTATAAGTCTCTTGTTAAACATTAGAAATAGGTATGAAAATTTTTAAATAAACAAAAATATATCCAAATGATATATATGACAAATTTTATTATAAATTCATTTCCAAAATTATATTTACTTGCAATTCCTGTTTCTGAATTTTTCATACTCTTCTATGAGAAATTATAGAGATAGTATTTCTAAAAACATTAAATATTTGTAGCTGGTATTTACTAAGGGAATCAGAGAATGAAAGGTATAAACATTAATATTTCAAAATGGGACCATTTCATATTTGCATGTCTCTAATAAATTACACTATTTTATGAATTTATGAGGAGTGATACACTATATATACCAATAAGTAATTGTACACATATGAGAAGTTTTTCAAAATTCAATGGTCTCAATTCTATACTGTAAATCATTTTCGTGCGTAAATAAACATAATAAACTACAGGAAAACAAAGGACTTATTATTAGGATGCTAAAAAATAATCTAGAACTATTAATAAATATATAAACAAACACTGCAAGAAGCTACCGGCTTCGCACACTAACACCTAATGACATATATACTAAACTGAAACAAAAAAATTATGCTAAAAAATTACGAAAAATACTTCATACCTAATTATTAAACAAGGATAATGCAAAAATATAATAAAAATAAATAAAATTTCAGAAATAAGCTTCACACACAAGAAGTAAACATATCAAGCATACGAAATTTACACACTGATTCAAAACGCGGGGATATGTTGCTATCCTCGTCACGTGATTTCGCCTAGGCGTCTCAATGTCTGTGAATCAAGCACATTCTAAACGTCTGAATAAAGTATAATTAAGCTTTTTTTTTATGACAAACTTCCACATTCGATCATTTTATTTCAATTACGTTGTGTTTCATTTCGTTGTTGACGAGAAAGAAAACAAGAAAAGTGATAGTTCAATAAAGAATTATTATTAATTATCAAATTTACACATAGAGTTTATTTTAAAGCATTTTTCAATTAATTTTGAATTAATTTTAGGTATTTATGTCTTTTTAGGAATTTTTTGTTACATTTAATTCATTGTTTTCCAGATCCTATGTGATTTGTGTAATGAATGTATTTTCCTATCTTAATATATATATTTTTAATTGTAGTTGAATCTGCTGATTTCTATCAGGTAATAAATTAAATATTTGTGGGAGAGGAAGAAGAAGTATAAAAAAAAATTTAGAGGTAATGTAGAAATTAGTAATGAAAAGTGCTTCGTAATGTGTGTGTAGAAAAAAATTTATCTTAAAAACGCTAAATAACTTTTTTAAAATTCCAGTATTAAATTTGGATTAAACGGAAAATATGTTATTTTCAGTACTTTTTATTTATTTTTCAATTCCTACTATTAGTTCGCTCTCCCCTATATTATATATATATATATATCGTGTTCCCATTTTCAATCGTTAATAAAAAAAACTTTATATTCACCCATTCGAGTTCAAATACTCTTTTAAAACTTGTAGTGGATGACACTTGATGTTAATGCAGTTTTTTAAATATTAATTCATTCATTAAATTAAAAAATGAATATATAGTAACAAACAACAAAAATAGTCCAACAGCATATATAGAAAAGAAAATCGTTCGTTGCGTCTCTGTAGCGCGTTGGATTTCTAATCCAATGGTCGTGGGTTAGAATCCCACCTGGGATAGCCTAATTCCTGAGGATGTGATTTCTTTTTTACTATACAATTTTATTACAATAATTAAATTTAATTAATAAGTAAATTGTAACCAAAAAATAGTTCAACACCCTATATAGAAAGGAAAATAGAAAATTGCAAGGAAAATCGCTTTCTATTTTGCCACTTAATAGTGTGATTCTGTCATATGTGTATATACATATTTATATTAATTATAACTATTTAATAAAATTAACTAAAATAAAAAAATTCTCTGTTAGCCTAAGTAGGAATTGACTTAAAAAAGTTTTTATAAGACTTGTGTGTGTGTGTGTGTTTAAAAACAAATATATATATATATATATATAAAGCAGTTCTAACTGAGTGGATATTTTTGTATTTCATGGCCAACTTTGAACCTGTGGAGTCATTAATTCGAATCCTAATATCCTTAAAGGATTCATCTTATGGCAGGGCGTATGCACGTTAAATTTACAGGACAGGGGATGGAAAATCGGATAGGGGGCTGCTAGCTCAAGTATCGTCCTCGTCACTTGATTGTGGTTTAAAATTATATGAGGTCCATCAACATAGCCATAATATCGCATCTCGTGGTGGCGGTAGCCTGACGTTCACGGTCATAAGCTCGTGGTTGGCGTGTAATGTGTGAGTTCGAGCCCTAGTACCACTGAAGACCTGCCGTGTAAAGGATTTGCTACGCGTTAAATCCTTTGATGTTCAGAGTTACTTCCGTTGGCATCGTGTGGTAGTTTGGAGAGGGTTTACCAGCTCAGAAGTGTCATCCTCGTCGCTTGATCTTGGTTCAAAATTACAAGATCCGTCTCCCATAGACCTCGTGTTGCTTTATAGACGTTAATAAACACTCACTCACGCATCTTGCATCTCATTGTGACGCTAATAAAAATTAATCAATACATTTCTATGTATAAAAAAAACTTTTCGGAATGCAGTAATAAATTTTTATTACGTACTATTCCAACAATACCAATGTTCAAAATAACTCACCAAGTTGGCAAACCCGAATTCTCAGCTGCAAGGAAGCTGAAGAGCTGCTTAAGCAAAATCAGTGGAATTTATCAATGAAGTGTTGAACGATGCTGCTTCAGTGATTAATTTGACCACTTACTGTTTTACCCGAACACCACTCGGGCACTTGAAATGGCATTTTTCAGTTTTGCCCGAGCGCCACTCGAGCAACATTTTTTTTCTTCTCTAATCTTCTGATTTGCCTGTATTTTTTGTTTGTTTAGTGTGCAATGTTTCTAGCAGATGTCTCTAATAGTCGAGTAAAGTTAGGATTCCAAATTAATGTCTAAACCGGTTTCAAGGAGTTAGGTTTTACTGCAAGCTTTTTTAGTCTACATAAGGCGGGAATTTTCTTTTTACTACATCGGTGAGCCACAAACTACGAACACTATTTCTTTTAAATTTGGAGCTTAAAATAGAAGAAAAATGAGTGATTATGAGAGGCTCATAACAGAAAATAATTCTGATACTGACTCAGGTTGTGAGTCTAGAATTTCTTTAAACGATTCTAGAAGTAAGGAAAGTTTGTTATTGGACTTCTTTTGTAGTGTATATAGAAGGGATCAGCATCTCACAAATTATCCAATAACAAAAAAGAGGGAAGAAATTATACAAAAAGATATTCTTCCGTCTTTTAGATACATCATTGTGGAAGGGTTTTGTTTTATATCAGAAACTGGGAGGAAAATTATCTCCTTTGAATTTCAGGCTTGATATTATATATCGCCTTATTGAAAAACATGGGACGGTAAATGAGAAAAAAAAAAAAAAAAAAGACCAGGCTTTTTTTTTTTTTTTTGCCCAGTCCCTTGCGATTGACAGAAAAAAAAACTTTTTAGAGATGATTCCTCCCGCCGACAAAAATTGAGACAAACAAGGCAATGTTTTGTGTGTTGCTCGAAAAGAAACGATTTTGAAAAACGGGTGAAAAAAGAAACACGATATTTTTGTCCCGATTGCGATATTGGGGTATGCTTTTCTCTCTGTTTTAAAATTTACCACACAAAAACATAATTTTAAGAGAATAATTAACTGTAATTGATTGATTGTTAACGTCGCACTGTTTAGCTACACGAGGGCTTTTGGCGACGTAAGTACACAATAGTATCTTTTTAAATCTAATATACATTTTTGTAAAGTGTTCTTTTGAGTTTGCTTATTTCTTCGGAAAAAAACCAACTTTAAGGAAAAATATGTTTTTTTCAATGGAAATAAAAATTAGCATGATTCTTTAAATTCAATATTTATAACATTTCTAACTGCTGATTTGAGTTTATATAATTGATTTCCTCTTAAAAATGTTTATAAAAAATATGCTTATTTTTTGACATAATATGACAGAAAAAAGACACAGTTAAGTGGTCAATGGAAGAAAAACCTCAAGAACGAATTTTTCGAAAAGAAGAACAAATGAATAGAACTACATTTTTTTTCATAAAAATACAGCTTTACAATGAGTATGAAACAGTTGTAGGCTATGTATAATGAGAATTGGTTTTCCGTGAGCTTGACTGAGGGTAGCCCCCCCCCGCTTAGTATTCGTAAAAGTTCGAAATATATTTATTATTTGTTATACATTTCATTCTAATTACATTTGGAAAATTAAAGGTACACTATTTTTTTTATTTAGGAATGCAATGTATAAAAACTTACAAGGCAATTGCAACAAAGTGTTAATTCATTATTTATTATTGTTCCATATTATGTATAGCTAAAAATATTGAAATTTTGCGTTTCGTTAAAAAATAAAATTTCTAAGCGATTTCGCATGAAATGTATGAAATTTAGGAAAAAAGTATTTGTTTATCGATTCAATAATGAGTATTGTATAATACCTTTAATTTCACAATCTTTATTTTGGATGATAGAGAACTTATTCCTAAAACGGGAGAATTCTAAAAAATTTTGATTACAAAATCTCCAGCAATAATGAATTATTGCAAAATCTTACTGGAATTTCTCATCGAAAATAAAATTTTGCAACTATTCATATATTTTTTAAAAAATAAATGAACGCTTCGTAAAAATTTTAAAAGGATTGCACAAACGAACACTTTGTAAGAATATTAAAAACAAATTCATTATTTCTTTTTACAGAAACATTTACTTCCTTTTTTGCAAAAAACAAATATATATACTTATACATATAATAATTAATGCAAATTACACACACATATGCATTAAAAACTATTACTCAAAACAACCTCATATTTCCCATACATTTCCTTTGTGTTCGTGAAAAGTTCAGCGAACTTACAATAGATATTTTTTTTCCAAATTCAATGGATATCTAAGGAAGCATTTGTATTATAAGTTGAAAAGGAAATCAAAAATTCCCACACTCACACATAAACTTTCGATTTTAGAAACTTAATTATAGTTTCAATGATTTCTTTTCTTTTTCAGAAAGATTTCCTTTCAATTTTTTTATGGTGTTTTCATATTTTTAAGTACAATGTGTATTGCTTCTTTCTGTGAAGAAATTTATAGCATAATTTTATCCTTAAGTATCATTCTGTAGTCGCCCTTTTTCTGGGTGTTTATATGAAAAAATATTGGTATACTATTTTTGTGAATTTGGGCTATTTGCAATTATATCTTTCAAATTAATTTTGGCATTTTTAAATTTCTTACATATCTCTAAGAAAATAGGTTATTGTTCAATTCCTACTATACGTTCATAATCTCCCTATATATATATATATATATATATATATATATCTTGTTCCAATTTTCAATCGTTAATAAAATACAATTTAAAACGCTCAATTGAGCTGAAATTTTCTATACACGATTGGTTTGGGTGACAATACGATAATTTAATTATAATTAATTAAAAAATTGACTGAAACTAATTATTTAAAGAATTACAGATACAGAGAGTCACGTTGGCTTCAGTTTTAGCGACTAGGATCAAAACTTTAAAAGATTTTTTTCTCACGTTTTAAAGCATTCAGTTGAACTGAAATTTTACATACTCGATTGTTTTGGATGACAATACGATACTTTAACGTAAAAATTAATTCCACTCAATATTGTGATTATATCTTATGTATATAAATATTTATATTAATTATAATTATTTGATAAAAGGTAACTAAAATAAAAATTTTCTATGTTGACCTAACTAGGAATTGACTTAAATTTTTTTTCTTATATTACTTGTTTTATTCAATAGGATCGTGGGATTTTTTACATTATTTAAAAATTCATTTTAGTTTTCGCACAAGTAATTTTTTTAATTTGCTTTTTTTTTCTTTTAGCCTTGCAATAAAGACAAATAACCGGGAAAGCTGGTACCTTGAAACTATGTTTAACCCTACAACCTTAGTCCTAAGCTTAATAATTCTCTGCTGTATTACTGCGACTCTTCTGTAATACTTTGACTTGTCTTGTAATGCTTTGTATTGTCTGGCTATGTTCATACATATTGAAGCTATTATTAAATTAGAATGATATTTTTATCAGTAGAGATCCGCTAAGAACAGATTTTGCAGAAATCGGCTTCCAAAGTGGGATGAGAGGTGTTATAGATAAAAAAAATCTTGTTTCTTTTTTGACTATTAAACATAAGGTCTTAAAATTTGACAAGCATATTTCTTATGTTGAATAGAGATCCACTGAGAACGCGAAAATGAAAATCGACTCCTAAGATAGAGTGAGGATTATGGGGCGGAAAAAAATAAAAAATTAACACTTTTGATTTATTAGGCCTACAGACTTGAAATTAGGCTTGCATGTTTCATTTTTGTTCAGTAGAAATCCGTTAAGAACGGGCTTTGTGGAGATCGATTTCTTAAGGGGAGGGGTTATAGTGTCATTATAGATTTTTTAAAAAATCCCGTTTTTTGAATTATTAGACCTACAGGCTTGAAATTTGGCAAGCATATTTCTTTCGTTGAGTACAGATCCGCTAAGAACGATTTTTATAAATTTTGAAAAACAAAAGGATTGCAGACGTTTTTAAGAGTGAGTTAATATTA